CATTACACTGGAATTATTTTACTCATTTGCTTGTTTACCTATTTCTTTCCATTTTCCTGGTGGTATATAATGACTATGAGGAAAGAGACCATGATTGTGGTCCTGCTCTTATCAGCAGTACTTAGAAGGAACTGATAAATGTTTGTTGAATGAATGGATGGATGAATACTGTGAAGCAGGCAAGACTGAGGTATAAAGATGCAGTACAGAATCTGCAGAGGGAAAAGCCTGAGCTAAGACATGGGCAGAATCTATAAAATGATGAATCAAAAGGAAAGTGCAGCTTGGTTATCAAATCCCAAAACACTGGGTTGAGGAACCTGCCTTTAATGTTTCAGGGAGGTGATTTTAGAACAAAAACTTGTGAGACTCATTAATTAAGAGGTAGTATAAGGAGGATATATAAATGGGAATACATATCAAAAAGGATTGGACAAATTTGCAAAAGATAGTGTTATAGAAGGCCACCAGATGAGGTCTGGATGGCAGGAATTGTTATAGTTGAAGGCCAAGGAAGATTCACCATCAATCCCCTTTTTGGAAGGCCACAGCTCTTGTCAGTCTGGGTTTATTTCAAGATGAACAAAAGTAATCACCACGTTTTCTTGTTTTGTTTTGCTTTAAACCAAGAACTATACCAAGTTCTTTATCCTCCCATCTGTATTTGGTGGATGCTCCTCTTTTACTTGGGCAGAGGCTCAGGAGGCCAAGTAACTGGCTGTAGGTCACATTGGTGAAGGGAAGAACCAGGGAATGAAAGCAGCACTGTCACCAGAGCTCTGCTCCTACCTTCTTTCCTGAGCCTAGTGAATATTCAGCATCCTGAGCCCTGGGGAAAATGGCAAGATAGACACATTTGCCTTTAGCATTTACTTCTCCACCTTTTACCCTTTTAGGAGGTCCCTGCCCAGGCCCTCCCTGGCTAGAGTCCCTTTAGAAAGAAAGAAAGCTGATAAGTCATTAACACCTTAGCATGAATTAGCTAATGACCCTACAGGGAATCTACTGAACTTCATGAGGTGAAAATGTTTTACAGAAGCCTTCTCCTCCCCCTCAAATCCCAGACTCAGAGCTGCAACTCTTGGGTCCATGCTGGCTAATGAGCATGTGCAGGCAGAGGAGCTCAATAAAGATTGACTGATTTATTGATCGATGGGAGTGAGGCCGAGCTCAATCTTCCTTTGCAGCTGCTCCTTTCCTTCCCTATCTCTGGAGAAGTGTATTTGTTCCCACCCAGCCCCATGCATTGTCCACCCCACTCTTTTGAACAGGGCCTTAATGGGAGTTTGGTGTGGGGTTAATCAGTGGCAAAGAAACATCTAGAAGGGAGAGGCTGAAACTGCAGCCCCAGTGCTGGGATCCTGGCAGGAATTTCCATAACACACAAGAGGAAAGCTAGCCAAGGGTTTCCCCACTGCCAGAGGGGCACAAGGGGAGCAACCTTAATCCCCCAGAGAAACAATATGCCAAGGCATCTCTGGGCTCTCTGCCTCTGTGTATGAGGCTGTGAGGGAGCTGGCAAGGGCTCATAGACCCTTGCATGGTAGGAGGAGACGTGATACTGGAGCTCCTGGGCCTCCTTGCATCCAGGCTAGAAGGAAGAGAGGCCAGCGTCAGAAGGACACTCAGTTGGTAGGTGGAGAGTTCCTGGCATCCGGCATGGAGCTGGGCATGTGGAGGCCTTATAGGCTGAGAGGCTGCCTGCCACAAGATGCTGAGGGTGTGGTGTGGCTGTGGCAAAGATGGCAGTGGTGGTGAGGCTGCCCACAAACAGGAATGTTTGTCTTTGAGGCCCACACTGACTATCTTATGTGTAGTTCTGGAAGCTGCAGTTTGCAAAAGATACATACACATAGTATGGAGAGGGAGTTTCACATCCTGTCATATGAGCAACCATGGAAATAACTGGGCCTGTTTATCTTTGACAAAAGAGACCTAGAGGGGGACCTAAGAACCAGCTTCACATACAGAACAGAGCTTTGGCTTATTCTCTCCCCAGGGGTTAGTATTAGGACCAATGGGCAGAAGCTAGAGAGAAGAAAGATGGGCTTCTAAGCCAAAGTCATCTGAAAGTGGACCAGGCAGTCCCAGGAGCTTGGTGAGCTGCTCACTGTTGGGGGCATTCAAGAAGAGGCTGAGGGATTAGCATGAGCATTATATGAGGTGCTCAAGCAAATGGTAAGAGATTAGACTAGACTACTGAGGGCCTCTGCAACTTTGAGGTGTAGGGTTCCAGGAAGTCAGAATGGTAGAGTTGGGAATCCATAAAACTCTCTACCTGTGCACAGGTGGCTGAGCACCAAGGCCTTGCCTGTTTCCCTACAGGAAAAGACTGGCTTTAGAACTCAAAAATTACCTTTCAGCAATGGGGCTAAAGGTGGCTTCCGAGTTCGTTTCCAAATGCCTATAAACCCCAAGGCATGGAAGGACAATTAGTGAAAGGAATGTGCCTTTACCTAATATTTACCATGTTTTAGACCTCATATGGCAGCTACCCTCTGCAAGCAGTTGGCATGTGGCTTGTTGTCATTGAGATGTATAATATACATAGAATATTTCAAAGATTTTGTATGACAAAGATAACTCATATATTTTATACTGATGTTGTTTGGTAATGATGTTTATATATATGTTAAATTAAGTTCACTTGTTTCTTTTCCTGTTTTTAAAAATGAAACTAGTAGAGAATTTAGAATTACATGTGTCTCTCATTATATACCTATTGGACAGTGTCACTCTAGACCCAGGACAATTCTTTCTTTCTTTCTTTCTTTCTTTCTTTCTTTCTTTCTTTCTTTCTTTCTTTCTTTCTAAGTTTATTTATTTATTTATTTTGAGAGAGAGTGAGAGTGTGAGCAGGGGAGGAACAGGGGGAGAGAGGGAGAGAGACAGAATCCCAAGCAGGGTCTGCACTGTCAGCACAGGGCCTGACATGGGGCTCAGTCTCACGAACTGTGAGATCATGACCCGAGCCAAAATCAAAAGTCAGATGCTCAACCAACTAAGCCACCCAGGTGCTTCTAGATCCAGGACATTTTTATTCATTATCTTATTTCATCCTTAGAACTATTCCATGAGGTAGGTGTTGTTATCGCCCCCATTTTGTTCATGAAGACACTAGAATTTAGGGAGGTTGAATAACTTGTCCAAGGCCACACAGCTAATAATTTACAGACCGTGGATTTGAACCCAGGTCCCCTAGACTCTGTGAGCACATTCTCCTATTAACTGATGCTGCTGTATTGACATCCACTTTAGGGAATTGCTATGTTGTAAAGCGCTGAAGGAAGGACCATAAGAAACGATTGTGGAAATGCTGACAACAGCTCAACTACATAATTAAAAATGCAGCAAGGGCCTCTGAAGTATGTGCCACAGGGGCAGGAACAGACAGCGAATCTGGCTGTTGGACTACAAAATCCAGGCTGTCCCGTGAGGGAAGCTGTAAATCCAGAACCTCGGAAATGCACATCACTCAGGGAACTGTACCGTTTCTGAGATGTGGGTGCCTCCAGGGATAAAGCTTCCCCAGATCTGAGGTCTGTGGGCTGGGTTTAGCCTGAGGTGGGAACACCTTCTACATCAGGAGAGGTTTTAATATGAACAGTTTCTGCAAGGCTAAGGTTGCTGATGGATTAGGAGGGAGAGATAATTAGGAGGTGTTTTGGGGAGAACTTAAGCAGTCCCTTCAATTCTGGCTCAACAAAACTCTCATAAATGACCATACTGTATTTGGAATTGCTTTACCAGACTCAAGAAGGTATTTTTTTTTCTTTATTTCTAATTAGTGTAGTAAGGAAAATTTGGAAAGGGTTCTTTGCATTCTAGATGCACAAAAACCCATCTCTCTCCCCGTCCAGCCCCAGTGCCTCCCTTGAGGACAGAGTGTTGTTTCCCCTGGCCTTGTTGTATGAAGGGGGCATCTCCAGGTCAAACTGTGTATGGGCTGAGGGCTGCATGTTGGGGGGCCCTCTGGGGCTGTGCCTCGGGAAGGTTTCTTTGTGGGGATCATCTACCCTTCACTCACACTTAGGAAAACAGAAGGCATCCCAATGCTGTGGAGGGCGGGGAAATCAATGATGGGCCTTCTGCTGCTCTGAGTTAAATAAATAAGTACAACCCCCCTGCCACCACCACCACCACCAAATAACATTCAGTTGAGAAGATTCATGAGCCATGAGGTAAATGGCCTGTATAAATGTCTGGCTGAGAGGAGAAAGGAGCCATGGTAATGATTTTACCTGCCCAAAGGGAAGAGGAACCAGAGTTGGAAGGAAAGTGATTGACTTATAATTACACTGACTAGGGCCCCTGGGGTTGTGACCACAGAAAATTACTCAAGTTTTCCATAGCTTAGAGCAGCAACAAAACCCCTAATGCCCAAGGCTCCGAAGTCAGTTGGCTGTGGTCACCTCTGGGTCTCTCAGGAGGCCGTGGGGCACGTGCAGGGGGCGGTAGGAGGTTGGCCAGTTCAGGAGGTTCAGGGCAGAGCTGCATTTGGGGCTGTTTTAAGAACCTCCCACCACCCAGGACTGTGGAAGGGGGTGAGGGAGGCAGGAGATGAGTCAGAAAGGGCAAAGTTTCCATGTACCAGCTATAAAGAAAATTTGAGGGTCCCATCCTCCCAGCTTCCAAGGTCTCTGGGATAGTGCGGTGGGGCCCAGCAGATAGGACAGATGAATGACTCAGCTCAGACCACAGTTCCTTCAGCTGTGCACTCTGGGTCTGGGGGAGACACCCAGAAGTGACTTGAGGGAATGCAGCTGTTCTGGATGGCCTCAGGACACTGAGGCTGCACCTGCAGACTGACCCTCACAGACCTGCCTGCGGGGAATTTTTCCAACCCTTTGGAACTCACTTTTTACTTCTAGTGCATAGAATTGTTAGCAGTAAAGGGTGTAACCAATTAGGGGTCAGAATGGGGTGGGGTAGGTCAAAAACAGCATCCTTTGGCCAAACGCTGTGCTAGGTGTCTGTTCTAATCTGTGGTTCTGTTTCAGAGGCCTGGGGAGAACAAGGCTGGTTCTAACCCTCTGAAGAAAGTCCCCAGCTCCGATTAGCCCCAGAAAGTCCATCAAAATTCTTACCAGAGTCCTAAAAAGAAGGTAATGTAATAAACTTGAGTTTTCTCTCTGTGTATTTTCTCAGCCCACAAAGTCAGCATGCTTTGCAGCTAAGCTTTTCCAAGGGCCATTCATTGCATTCCCTCTGAAATAAGCAAGCAATTGCAAGAGAGACTTATTGAACCAACTGCCTTTCAGATGGTCCTGCTTTCTTCAGTGTCTGCCCACCATGGCATCACCAGTGAAACATCCATTGGGCTATGTCAATTCAGCCAGAAAAATACACAAGTCCCCCTTCTCTAACAAAGGGAGCACATTATTTTAGGCTGCTTAGGTGAGTCTTCCAGAGTTCCAGACAGAGGCTGAGCAAAGCTTGCCTTTTAACAACAGCTCCAGTAAAGGCATCGGAATGACAGCAATGATTTCAAAGCCCACTGTGAGATGCACCCGGAATTAAAGGAGGCTTAAAAGTGAAAACTCGCTCAGTATCTCCCTCATGGCCCCACCTCTTCCTCAGAACTGTATAGAAAGTAAACCCCCCTCCAGATCCAGCTCTGCCACACAGTGTTAGCGAGCAAAGTGCAGAGCAGGTCACAGTATTTCTAATTCAGATTAATGACCCCATTCAGCCCTGTCTCCTTAGCAGGAAATTAGAAAGTGTAGGAAGGAGCAAATAGTGATTCATAATGCGTGACTGTGGGTATTGGCAGTTGTGCTCGTTAAAAAGCTAAGATATTGTTTTGATATAAAATAATTGAGTCTGACTTATTTGTGGGATAAAGTGTTCTCCATAATGGGAGATCCCTCTTACAAAGCCAGCTGGTTACATACCCATATGCTTGAAGGACAGGAGAACTGACCTTTGTCCATTTTGTGTTTGCTGCAGCTCTGTTGGAAATAGCAGCTTGGGGTAATAGACTGGTGGGGTAGTGTACTTTTCTTATACTCTGCTTTAAAAAAAAAACAACAACTGTTTTCAAGTTTTTGTTTAAATTCCAGTTAGTTAACATGCAGTGTAGTATCAGTTTCAGGTATATAGATTGATTCTGTGTCTCTTCTTTCTTCCCTGGCCAGCGGGGGGGGCGCCACCCCACACACACTTCCATTTGATTCACATAGGCTTATATAAAATCAGGCCCCTTGTTGTCCTGATATAAATTCCATTCCCTCTCCACGTCCCCATGGGTAGCCACGCATATCCATTCTTTCCCTCCTATGTATCTGTATCTTGTCTGTCACCAAAAGCTCTCCCTTCCTCTTTGGATTCAGCCTTTTTCTTTCATTTCCACACTCAAGATATAAGCTTGGTTCAGGCTGTTGTATAAAAGGGAGAAATGAGGGGTGCCTGGGTGGCTTAGTCAGTCAAGCATCCGCCTTTCGCTCAGGTCATGATCTCACAATTTGTGGGTTCGAGCCCTGCCTTGTGCTCTGTGCTGACAGCTCAGAGCCTGGAGCCTGCTTCAGATTCTATGTCTCTCTCTCTCTGCCCCTCCTCTGTTCGTACTCTGTCCCTGTCTCTGAAAAATAAACATTAAACATTTTTTTAAAAAGAGGGAGAAATGATTTCTTTGAATGACAATCATGCAAAGCTCAGTGCCTGGCATGCCCAATAAACCTTACCCTGTGAGGAATCATTACTTATTTTGTGTTCCAGGGATGTATCTACTCTCAGATCGCACACCAAAATACTGTTAATGAGAACTGAGAAAAGTTGGATGAGCTTTAGAAATAAGGGCAACTGAGATGTCATTTCCAACCTGGATGTGTGTTGGAATCTCCAGGGGAGTTTTTTTTTTAAATGCAGATACCTATTAAATCTGAATTTCACCTCTTACCACTCTTTCTGTTGGACACACCCCTTCTGCCACCAGTCTACCAGTCTCCTTAGTTCTTCTTGAACACACTGAGCACGTTTCTGTCTCAGGGCCTTTGTACTTGCTAATTCCTCTTTGGAACACTCTTCATCTAGATGTCCACACTGGCTTGCTCCATCACCTTTTAGGTCTCTGCTCTGATGGATACTGTCTCCTCAGAGGTAAACACACCACTAAAATAGCATCCCTCCATCTGCCCACTATTTTTTTGTCTTTCTTTGGATCACCTGTCACATTGTATATTTATTATTTCTGCTTGGTTGTCCCTTCTAGATAGTGAGCTCTATGAGGGCAGAAATGTTTTCACCTTAGATTAAAGGTTTATCCTCAGAACAAAAAAGGAGCTTCACATATAGTAGTCACTCCAGCAACGTCTGCTGAATCAGTGAATATAAGATGAATCAGAGAAGCTGAGTTAATCCAGGAAGGCTTGTTCTAAAACACCGGTTCTTAAAGTGTGGTCCCAGGACCAGCAGCTTCAGCATCACTTGAGAAATGGTTAGAAGTGCAAATTCTTGGGTTTCACACCAGTCCTACTAGAGCACAAACTTGGCGGTAGCCGTGTGTGTTTCAACAAGTCCCCCCACCCCCTCTGCTGGTGCACATGCTCTCTCTCTCAAAAAAATAAGCATTAAAAAAAAAAAAGAGCATGAACTTAGGAGTCAGACTTGGGCTGGATCAGGACTTACTTTGATAAAATGGGCAACAATACCTGCCTTAGAAAATTAGTAACGCTGGTACACAGTGGGTACTCCATGTAGTTGTTAATAATGAAAACAAAAATTGGCATTTTATTTTTTTATTTTATTTTTTTATTTTTTTATTTTCAACGTTTTTTATTTATTTTTGGGACAGAGAGAGACAGAGCATGAACGGGGGAGGGGCAGAGAGAGAGAGGGAGACACAGAATCGGAAACAGGCTCCAGGCTCTGAGCCATCAGCCCAGAGCCTGACGCGGGGCTCGAACTCACGGACCGCGAGATCGTGACCTGGCTGAAGTCGGACGCTTAACCGACTGCGCCACCCAGGCGCCCCCAAAATTGGCATTTTAAACACCTGTAATGTTTATTATGCTGGTGTGTGTGTGTGTGTGTGTGTGTGTGTGTGTGTGTGGTGTAATTATTCAGGCAGAAAGAAGACAGTGGAAAGTATATTTTAGAACATTTGTTCTCACAAAGTGGTCCTATGACCACCAGCAGCAGCACAACCTGGGAATTGTTAGAAATGCAAACAATTTCTGGGCCTCACCCAGATCTACTGAAACAACTCTAACAGCAGGCCTACTGTCTGTTTTAATAAGCCTTCCTAGTGACTGACGTATGCTCATCTTTGGAAACCCTGCTCTGAAATCACACACACACTTCCTCTATGTGGGTTGCCTCTCCAGGGAAATAATCTAATAACAAATGGAAGACACCAGGGTGGTCAGCAACTAGAGAATTTCTCCTGAGGGACAAGTCAATAGAATCTGAGTCATCTGAATTTGGAAAAGGGACCCAGTTCCTGGTTTCTGTAGCCAGCCCATTCAGTGGACTAGCTTTCTGACAGGGCGTTGAAAAATGAGGTCCCCAGTAACAGCCCTCTCTCCCTCAAATGTTTCCCTGGCTGCAACAATTAAACTGCTGAGCAGGAAACTGGACCTGATGTTCTGTTAACCCTTTGTCAGCCAAAGCCCAGAGGCAATTTGTCTCGCTGGAGAGATTTTCTTCTCAACTTCTTTCCCTCCCACCACACTACAAAGGAAAATGCTCTTAAACCATCTCCTTGCCCGTTTCGTGTCTGGGTGATTGAAACAGCAGGGTCAGAGTTCATCAGAGGGGAAAGGTCATTGCAAACTAAATGCAGCTGCTGAATCTCCTTGTGCTTCTCCTTGGTGTCAAGAAGACAAATAGCAATTAAAAAAAAAAAAATCCTCCCAATGAAACAGTTCTCATTTTCTCCTTTCTCATCAGCCTCCAAGCATTTCTTAATGAACTACAGCTCAATCATCTACGAGCCTGATGGTTTTTAATGCGAGCATAGCCCAGCTAGAAATGATCAGAGTACAGTTGATTAAGCCAGCTTTCTGAGTGTTTTTGTCCTTGAGTTCTTAAGGTTGGGTCTTCACCACAATCTAGGTCCTCATTGTTACGACTTAGGACAATATCAAACGAACACATGGTCATGTCAAGCCGGTCCTTCAGGGCCAGGCAGGACTGGGGCCCTGGCCGGCACTTCCTGGCTACTGACAGTTGTGCTGTGTTTCCCTTTGTCTTTTACATACCTCCATTTTGTCATTGTCCACATGGGCTTTATAGATTTTCTCTGTAAATTTTGAATTCTAGACCAGCATCGCCCACCATCTACCCAGAGATTTCTCAGCCAATTTGAATGTGAGTTGAAGCAAAATGTAATTTGGATCATAATCTTATTTAAGCCACATCTGTTAGAACCCAGTTACTCTATTAAAGAAAGACAATCCTGCCTGCCCGTTTCTCAGTGTCTAAAGTTGAGAAGAGTTTTGATTTTGGCAAACAGAATAAGGACCATTCAAAAATATCCGAATGAGTACCTCTTTAGTGATAGAATCTCCTCTACTCAACCCAACCTGATTTTTGTGAGGTCTTTTGTTTTGTTTTGTTTTGTTTTGTTTGAGAAAGAGAGTGCAAGCTGGAGAGGGGCAGAGAGAGAAAGAGAGCAGGAGACACAATCCGAAGCAGGCTTTAGGCTCCGAGCTGTTAGCACAGAGCCTGATGCAGGGCTCAAACTCATGACCTGTGAAATCATGACCTAAGCCAAAATTGGGCATTTAACTGACTGAGCCACCCAGGCGTTCCTGTGAGATCTTCATTATTGTCAGCATAGTGTTTGCTGACAGATGCCAGACACTTTTTTTTTGGTTCACTATTATTTCCTTTTTCTTTCTTTCTTTCTTTCTTTCTTTCTTTCTTTCTTTCTTTCTTTCTTTCTT